AACTATACTGAACTTAGACCCCTAGCAAAACATCATAATTTTAGCTGATTCTTAGGGTTTAAAGTTTATAGTAGCCAAAGATTAAATTTAACTATTTCTCAGCATCCCTAAGGAAAGGCTGAAGCAGCTGCAGCACTTAATCCCAACAGGTCCGGCGCACGCCCATGATGCGCTCACCATCGGCTTCTCAAGGATGCATGCAATCTTGGGGGTAATTACGGGCTCTGGGTTCATAGCTGGGGGAATTAATTGACAAAAAATCCGGAACCCCACTCGGCAGTATAACTGGATCTCGAAAATCCTGCAAACGGAACAACCCTCAACCTTGATTCTAAGAGACTCCGTATCATGCCAGGTTGCGGCAAAATTTAGCAGGCCATGACTTGACTTCTTCAAAGGGGAGCTAACTAAACCCTAAACTGTAGCCTTGCAACCGAAAGTGCCGCTTTCCTTGTAACTTGCTGTGCAAATGCAATATTTGCGCCTGCCCGTTGTATCTAATCTTTGTTGACAGTGCGCCGATAGGTGTCATGGCAGCTGGCTGCTTGTATTTTTGAGCATACACATCATTTCACAGGGCCCGCAACACCCGATGAAGCCCTACTCAACATATACATGTAGTTCTGCTTTCCATACATGGCTCAACAAGCCTTGGACCGTCCGGCCATCACCAGGGCATCCTAGCGGAGACACGCACAAACATGCGTGCCTAGTTTAGCGGCCTTATTACTTCTTAGAGTAGAGCTTTGGGGATCCATCATAATACATTTACAAGTATAGTGTAGTACATATTCAGGAATAATACTTTAATAGTATTTGGTGAAATGTTACAAGCTTTCAAAGGAGATTCGGATCCCTGGATTCGGCTGAGGATTGGGGTGGATAGAAATCCTGCGGCCTGGCTCAATTACCACTATTGAAGGCTAGCCCCCATCAGTAGAAGGTCATCATCACCTACCCTTCTTTACGATTTGGGGCTCAACTGAGAATCATTGCCCAAAAAGGTCCTAAGTATCTATACAGTAGAATGTAGACTGTCTATATGAAAAACTACGGTTGATGATATAAACCCTGCATTGCCCATCGTAGGGAATATGCCATACGATCCCATAGTTTAGAGCCTTTAAAGTACTGCAGGATTTATATCATCAACCCTAAACCCTAAGCCTTAAACCCTAAACCCTATAAACCCTGAACCCTATAAACTTTAAACCCTAAACCCTAAACCCATCAACCATACTGTGATGATTTGGGGAAGTATCACCCATGACAGTCCCTAGGACCATTTGGGCTTAGGGATCAGGGCTCGAGGCTTGTAGGCCCGGTCAGGGTTTAGGGCTAAGGGCTTAGGGTTTAGGGCTTAGAGCTTGGGGTTTAGGATTTAGGGCTTCGGGCTTTGGGCTTAGGGTTTAGGGCTTAGAGTTTGGGGTTTGGGGTTTAGGGTTTAGGATTAAGGCTTAGGGTTTAGGGGCCTTTGGAATCATACTCAAGAGTGGTACTCCAGTGAGAAACATCTTGGGCCCGAGCCGAACTGATTCCTGTTCAGTACCTTTCGGGCCTACTCGGAGTTAGGATTTACGGTTTAGGGTTCAGGGTTTAGGGCTGACGAGGTTGTGCGTGTTTCTGTTGTACTATTAGAGATTATAAACCCAAAGGGTCCTAAGTACCTATATGGTAAAATGTAGGGTTTCTACATTGGGAAGTGCTATTATGACTTAGGGAAGCATCCCCTATAACAGTGCATAGGACCCTTTGGGAAAGGGGGCTAGGGTCGGGGCATCAGTCTTGAACAAGTCTTACTTACTGGGGTTTAGTCAACATCTGCTGGCCCTAGAATAAGCAGGTCCGTAGTTTGAGGTTTTAGGGCTTGGGGGCTTTGGGGTTTTGGTGGATTCAGGTTTGGGGCTTGGCTCTTCCGGCAACTTCTCCGCGCCTTTTCTCGCCACTCGCAAAGCTGGTTCCGTTCACTAACACTACCTCAAAGAATCCGACTAACTCCACCTCGCTCTTGCAGCGATGCCATTGCCCGAGACTCTTTGCAGATGTTGGCCAGGAAGCATCTGGACAAATTACTAATGCACCGACTTTTCAAATTATCCCGAGGAGCCATCCTCGTTTCAGGGCCGTTATCGAACCCAGAGGGTCCATATACACTACCATTATGGATTTATGTCCCAAAAGATCATAACTATTATGGTTTTGGGGACCTAATTCCATAATAGTAGTATCTCTGGACCCTCTTAGGAATGTTCGTCCGGGTACCGAGAAGGAAAATCTGGCTCCTCCGGGGAATCTCATCTTCGGTTGATGCAGAGCGACCCTGACATCCCATTGGCACCACACGCCACATTCGAAATTTAGAGCTGTGGGCCCCCAGGCCCATATAAAAATTACTCTGTGCCACAAGAATTCACCCTAAACCCTAAACTCTAAATCCTAAATTCGTCCAAGAAGACACGACGTCTGGTGCCGCAGTCACTGTCCCAGGCTCCCGGTGTTCCCCTTAACGTCCACCACACAAAAACTTCCTTCCGCGGCATCTTAGACACCGCGGCTGAGCGAGAAAAAAACACGCTGCGGCTGCTGTTGGCGCTTGGCTGCTAGAGGGCACCATCCAAAGCGACGGCGTTGATGCATAGGTGGGCCTGCCGGAGCTTCCCGATATGACGTGGGGTGTGTACCTAACTCATGAACCTGCTTCTTTGTAGGGTCTCTATAAATCCCATATTAGGACTTATAACAAGAGCCAACAATTCAAAGGTGCGTTTTGGTAGGTTCAGGTACTTACAAATTACTAGTACCCCCGTAACAACCTCCAGCAACTGGCAAGCTCACCAATGTTTCGAAGCACGAAACCCTACTACATACGCTTCCCAAACCCGGCTTCACACGCCCAGCAAAGCTTCGCTTCATCTTCGTGGTTGTCTAAGGCAAGAACCTCTTACATCATTACCCGGGTAATCTAACAACAGGCCACAACAATTCGTGGCGATATCTCTAGATAAGTCCTTCAAACACATAGAATACCCCGACCCAGACACCCGATTCAACTTGCACTGGCGCCTATACTTCAAATTCTGCCTAGGTTCCCACGAAAACATCTACTGTTTTTCGGGCTCCCCCTGGAAATCCGTGAGCTTGCTGCGCAAGGAGCCCAGAATTATCAAACATAAGCTAGGTAGGATTCAGGGTTTAGGGTTTAGGGTTTAGGGATCTACCCAAACACAAAATTGCGGAGGGGAGGGAGGCGGGAAAACCCACACAGCACAAGGTAAGTAGAGAGTAAGATATCCCGTCACATCTTCCTGCGTTTGACTAAGCCCTAAAGCCTAAACCCAATACTCCCCAAACCCTATTGTAAGTGTTAAGTTCCCTTTTTGTAGACACGTCGGTCATGGTAATATAGGGGCCTTCAAAAGTACCTATACTATTTTGGGGTTCCTTATGATTACTGTGGTATAATATATCCCAAAACCAAGTAGTGAGGCCCCTACATTGGGCTGGGGTATCAGTGATGAGCGGATTCCTCAAGATCCAAAGAAACGAACTTCGACGATCGCGTTTACGAAGACGGTTTGATTCGCAGTTCAGAGTTCATGTTCGGAGTTAAGTTTATAGGGATTATAAGGTTAAGGGTTCAGAGTTCAACGCTGAAGGTTCGGGTTAATTCGGGGTTATGTGGGTGGACTGCCCTCTTACAGACGCAGCGATGCTATGACATGTCCACACAAAGCTGTTGATGACAGGCTTTGGGTGATTTCATCCGCACATCCGAGGACGGGGTTTTGGGGTGTCACGACTCAATCGCAGTTTGGCCAAAACCTGTCATTCCAGTGAAAGTCTGCTGCCGTGCACCTCCTGCTTAATTTGCATCTGCACGTAGCGAAAAGCTGCTCCACGAGCAGGGCTGCTTCCAAAACTGGCCACTGTTCCAGAAGGGTTCTATAGAGGGTCGGTTTAGGGTTTAGGGTTTAGGGTTTAGGGCGTCCTTTATAAGGATCTCGGATGCTAAGCTAAGAGGATTCGACAAATCCATAAGGGGTGAGCTATCCCAGTCGTTGGAACCGCTTCGGAGCAAGGTAATCTATGCAGAATGGGCTTTTGCAGATGTCCTGTGCCTTCGATAGCCAATCTGCCACAAGCAACCACTAAGACTCCATAGCCGCAAAACCCCTAAACCCAATAAACCTACAGAGCACTCATAGAAGCCACGAACTCAAACCCCTCCTTGCACTTTGTTCTTACCTGCCCAGTATCCTAGGGGAACTCAAGGTTAATTAAAGGCTGCCTACTCTACTAGCTCTACTACTAAGCATTCGACCACGACCATCGTCTCGAGGAGCAGCCCTCAGAAATTGGGATGTGTCTGCCATACGATGCCCCTGCAAAGGGAATCGAACTCCCGGGAAAGAATTTGAAGCTGTTGGAACCTTTAAACCCTACACTCTACACCCTAAACCCCAAAACCTAAACCCTAAACCAGAAACCCTAAACCCCAAAACCTAAACCCTAAACCCTAAACCCTAAACTCTAAACTCTAAACTCTAAAGCCTAAACCCCAAACCCTGAAACCCCAAACAGTGAAACCCTAAAGGGTTTAGAGAGGATGTCAAGGGGGTTGGGAGTCGACTGTTTCGCAGCACCCTTTGCAGGACCTCATATAGCTCTCTCGGATTACGAATTGGTGCTTTCTGTCTTCCTGAATTTGGGCTCCGTTTTCTCCTGAATTTGAGCTCTCCGTCCTCCTGAATTTGTGCAGTTCCTCCCTGCTGCGGAGGATAGCACTGTGAGTACATCAACCAAAATGGGGTCGCATGCACCTGGCCCGCAGAACTGCCACTGACTCCAAACTCCTAGGGATATGAGGACATACAAAGGTGGTCAAAATTCTCCAAAGGGCTCCCCCAAATAGAGGCCCAACTGCTCTACAAACCATCACAACCTGTCGGTGGCAGCTCTGAAGCATGCGACCTTGGAATTATATGCCGTCTTTGGCTGCTTCAGTCACGCCAGTAGCGCCAGGTGGTCACCTTGATGCGGCAAGTCACGCCCTAAACCCTAAACCCTAANNCGGGGGGGGGGGGGGCATTTACAGTTTAGAATATAGGGTGTAGGAGTATACTGCATATCGTATAGTCAGTATAGTACTCAGTATAGTCTAAAACAGAAATAGCCGGGAACCTTAAGAAAGACGTGAACCTGGGACCATTAGACTGGAACCAAGGGCCACCACAAAGTCGGCTCAACTCCTCTTCGCCATGCCTGATTCTACGTGTAATCTGGACAGGTTCCTGAGAAGATGAAGAGAGGAAGGCCCCTGCCCTAACACCTAAACCCTAAACCCCTAAACCCCTAAACCCTAAACCCTAAACCCTAAACCCTAAACTCCTAAACCCTAAACCCCTAACCCAAACCCCTAAACCCTAAACCAGAAACCCTAAACCG